TGCCTTTTTTATGTTTGCTCCCCCTGCTCTTAGAACCTGGCTACGCCACTGATTCACTGGCACAAAACTGGAGTGAGAAAGTTGGAAACCAGTACTTAGAAGGTTTAAGAGCCTTCCTTTACCAGGGGCATTTAGTTCAAAGATACAATAGTCTCCTAAGATCTATACATTGCAGAAGGCCACATTTTGCTTTCTTTCCAGACAAAACTATTTAAAGGAGAGGTAAGTAAGTAAGGAAACCCTGCTCCATGGTCATAAGTAGCAGAGATACTTAAGGATTTGGGGGATGCATAAAAAGCAGTTTTCTATGGCTTTACTCCCTTTAGGGTTCATACAAGTTGTGTTAAGCCACTTGTGTAATTGCAGCAGTGGGGAGAGGAGGGCACCTGAGAGAGTTTTGTATTATGGCATTTGTAAAGTTGTAGGTATTTTTGTTATGCTTATATCACCTGGTAGCCAATGTGAGAGTAGCTATTTACTGTTAGAAGCCCTAAGACTGAACTGATTATGCTGCAGAGTGTATGTGTGATGAAATTTTCCAAGATAGAGGCTGACTAGTTGTCTATGTGAACCTGTATCAGCATAAAAAAATCTATTTTTTTTTCAGTTCAAATCCGTTTTGGGTCTCCATATGTTAGACTATTTTGTTTTCTTTAAAATCAAATTCCTTTCTTTAAGTAAACAGGGCCACATTACCCATGATTGGTGTGCCTGCCCTTAAGTAATTGTGGGGAAAACCCTTACCCCCAACACTGAACCAGTCAGTTGGGAAGCTCCTTCTTTATCTTCTGCTTCAGTCACCAATGGGAGAGAGAATTTTCAGTCCAATGGGCACATAATACCTATGCAAATGAACTCAATGCCTTCTTCAATAGAATTGCCTACAGCTTTATTTCCATATATGGCAATGAGTTGGGACAGAGTCACTGACTCCAACAAGGAGAGAAGAAAAAGCAAGTGGGTTATAAAAATAAAATCAGCTCCAAAACAGAGAGAAGTTGCCATGATTGTAGAAACCATGGGGCTTGTGGAACCTCTTCAGGTCTGGAGACAATTTGGGTTAGAAAGAGATATCGGGACCTGTTTCTGACTTTACGTATGCTGGTGCAAATCGTGAGTAACTCCAAGGTAAGTAAATCAGTGGAGTTACACAAATGTAATCTGGTTTACATGACATCAGAATCAGACAGTTAGTAATGAGTGTTTCCTTTTTAATATAATACCAGCAATTGTAGGATACAGCTGAAATTTTATGCTTATTATAGGCAGGGCTGGTAGTGCCACCTATTATTAAGATTGACTGGTACTTCCCATTATAAGAGCCTTATTCAGTGGTTTATAACTTTCCTAAATGTTTCAGGTTGACATTTTCCATTCTGTGTGTCTGCTTCAGGTTGATGATTTTTTTTTTTAATTTCAGCCAAAACTGTTCAACTGTTTCAGAGAATGAGACTAAAACAAAATGCATTGTTTTGCCCAGGGGCTGAGTGAGGCTGGTCGTGGAGAGGGGAAGGAAACTGGAAGTACAGGAGGAGATAGGGACTCGGACAGCCAGACCAGAGGGGGAGACTAGGAATGTCTGGGCAAGGAGACTGGGATATAACTGAAGACTATATCATAATGCATATGCACAAGAGGTGAATTAAGATTGCATGGGCCACCTTAATTCTGGTGTTTTCTACTTTTGAGTGCTTGACTTTGCAACCTTAATAATGTTCTTTTAACATATTTTTGTGAGTAATTTTATGTGTGGTTAGTCATTTTTTTCATGCCACAAATTATGTGCTATAATTTAAGAACTAAACACTTTGTAAAAAGCATTTTGTTATACACCGTTAATTTGCTGACAAGTGGAGGGCAAATGCCCAAGTCCTGAGGGGAAAATTCTCCTCCCTAGTCTATGCTACAGATCTCTGATCCATGCTGTAGATCTCATTTCTATATTTTGTGTGCTTATTCTACATGAGGTCAATGGAAGTGCTGCACATAGGACAAGTGCAGAATATGTAGCAGCAATCTGCATTGCAAACAGGAGAACTGCCCGGTGAGGAGGAGGAAGATGAGGAAATCTATTTTGCAGATGAGAGTGTAGAATTTTGCTATAATTTTGCATGTGCCAAAAAATGCACATACTTCCAGGTAAAGATATGCATATCTGTGGTGTCCTGGAAATATCACCTGTAATAAACTTCACTGAATTTCAGTTACCACAATGCTGGGCAAATCTATTAAAGTGTATCAAAAGAATCTTTTGGAAATTGGCTGAGATTGACTTTTCTAGAAGAATATCAGAAGATTCTCCTTACAGAGAATATATCCTTCTACAGTGCCAGAAGATCAAATGATTCCAGGAGCCAATCTATTCAGGGTGGGAAATCCTACTTAATTGCATTCTGTACCTTTTTGCTTCGAGATGGAATCGTTTTAAGCATAAAACATATATATTTCCCCTAGAACTCTAGGTTTAATTTTCAAGCCTATAATTTTATTCAGCTGGAAAAAGGATAAAATATCCCCTCAAAGCAAAGGAAATTCAGACTTAAAACTGAAACCCAATTCTAAGAACCAGAGAATTAGGAGCTGGCCAGGCATTTAGATTGTCTGACTGGTTTCCACCCCAGGGCCTAAAAGACTCTGTTTATTGAAAGAACTATGACTCAGTATCATTTTTATTTTGTACATATTATTAAAACTCTTAAACAAACTAAAATAAAATCAAGGAAACCTATCACCAGAATTAAAATAAAACTGTCAAATCAGAATCAAATTGTGATCCAATCAACAAATCTGTCTCAGTATTTGGCTTGAATTAAATCATCAAATTAGTACCCAAAATAATAAATCCTTTTATCAGTTCTAAGAAGGAGTCTAAGAAGGTGGCTGGCCATTAGTAATATTCTTTAGCTGGGATTTATAATCAAAAGTCAATCAAATCTATAATTTGAATCTGGTCAAATAGCTTAGTGCTTAAAGTGTTAACTAATTATTACCTAATGTCTACCTCAGCAATCTTAGAGCCACTAAAAAAGAAATTTTCTTAGATTTCAGTTGCTACGTGTTAACAAACTCCCTCCTCCCCTAAAATATTATACTACTAGCTTTAACACCACCTTCTTATGCAAAAGTTTAACAGCTCACAGAGCAGGAAATTCAGATAAAGAGACAGAATATGATGTTCTGCTGGCAGAGCAACTACAGCTGCAGGAAGAGACTGATCGAAGGCTGGATTTGCCTGTTTGTTGGTGTCATGACGTCACAAGTCCCAGAGATTCTGGAATATTAGTCTTCTCTGTTTTCTTGCTGACCTGAAAGGCGAGACTTCTCTGTTTTTCCCTTAATTCTAATGGCTAATGAATTAAGCTTTCTCCATCTTCCAGTACCTCTTTACAATGTCTTCATACAAATCAGGTGTGAAACCTACCTTGGAACCATGGAACTTGGGCCAATAAAGTTTGAATTAGTTCATTGTTAGAAAGTAAACTTGGAAAAGTCCCATTTAAGCCAGCAACTTTAAAATTAGGTATATTCCCTATCAAAGTGTTTTTGGTATATGGTTCCACACACATACATACTCAAATATGAAAAACCCAGACACACAAGACCACTATTGAGGTATGGTTTTATCTGGGTCAAATGTCTTAAAGACACTGTCACCAATTTACAGAAAATGCAATATAAAACCTCTATAAAATAACTAATGGGAAGAACTCTAGGACAAAAAAAAGTTGCTTGACATTCATCCATCAGCACAACAAAAATTAAGTCAGACTTATGATAAATTTCTTCATCTCCACTTTCTCATCTGCTAATCTAAAACCAGATAAATGTTCTCATTCTTCTTTCAAATAAGGCAATTACAGTAATTTTCCTATTTTGGAACAGGGATATAGGTCAGCTGATCCTCAGATAGCTAAACTGACAAAAGTTACTTTAACAATAATGAAGATGAAACCCATTTAAAATAAGGTTTCAGAGTAGCAGCCGTGTTAGTCTGTGTCCGCAAAAAGAAGAACAGGAGGACTTGTGGCACCTTAGAGACTAACAAATTTATTAGAGCAT